TTTTTAAATGTTACATTCAAATATTATTTGTCCTGACTACTGAGTTTTTGTTACCCCCTTAAATTTGCATGTGAAGCAGGTGCCTCATTTGCCTCTCCCTTCTCCCAGCCCTGCCTTCCCCTTGACATATCTAGGTAGGATGGCGATTTCTGTGTCTGTAACCAACAGAGCATAAAAATTTGAGTTCATCTCCTCAGTTAAGTTCACAGCATACTTAAGTCTAGGGCACATGGACTTCAGCCTCCCTTAGGGATGGGGAAACCTTGATCCTAGCTTTAAGCATCTTTTTCCTTAAAGCAGCTAAAATCAGGGTAGAAAATGAGGGCAGAATCAGGCAGCCCAGAGAGAGAGAACAGCTCCATGCCAGTAAGCAGCACACATTGGCTTTTAGTTTTAAGCACTCAGCAGCTACTCATGGCTCAACCAAATAAAGGTCCAATATTTTTGTGCATCCAAAAGCCTAAATTGGATTACAGAATCATTATTACTGTCACTATTCACTTCAACTTTGGTGACCTGTTGACTCAGAAACCAGAATCCATAGCTTTCTGGCTGGGACTCCAACTAATTTGGCCTTGACTCACACAACAGTAACTTTTTAAAAAAGGAAGTCCACCTTAATCCAGAGCATTTGCTATCTCAACATGATAATGTTTCTTAGGGTATTTCCTGGTTTTAACATAAGGGCTGGGGAAGTTTTCCAGGGCTGGCAACTGATTGAAAGAATTTATCTAGATTTCTTTGCATCAGTTTCTCATTCTTTCACACAGCACATTTGTCAACATTGTCAACCCAATCCAGGTGAGTAAGAGCTCCCAAACTAGTCAGTTTCTCATCTACAGTTTCTTGGAAAGTTTTTCTGTCTCAGGGAAGTATCATCAACAGGATCAAAGCTCCTTTTTTTGTAGTCAGTTTCCGTTCCAAAAAACTCTGAGACCTTCGACGGTCGTCTTGGAATGGATCCAAGACTGGCATGAGAGACTACAGCAGGGGTTGAGCCCTAAGAGGTGCCAGCTGTGGTCATTCTTCTTTAACAAGCATTATGTGCCCCAACCCCTCAACCTCCCAAGGAAACCAGGCAAAGTTCAAATGATTCACCTGGTTTCTGCCTTCTCTGAAAGTCTTTCCACGCTCAGTGCAGGAACATCTCTCTGCAACTTCCGTACCAAAGTGGAACTTGCACACTCAGGACAAATTTTAGTACTAGTTGTTAGAATCAGGTGGCTCTGAATCCAGTTGGGGAGGAAATCCACCCCACCCTACCCTCCAGGGGAGAGTGAGCAGTAGTCAGGGCATTGGTCCAGCCGCTGTCTTTGAACCTACTACTTCCTGTTACTCAGCCTTTGATCCCTTCCCCACAGCCTCATTAATAGGCAATAAAGCAGAGCTCTATTTATTTCTGGTTAACTGTACAATTTGGTCAACATGTTTGCTACTGATTTCTGTGGCCTTCTCTCAAATCTTGTTAATCAGCCCTGAGGCCCTCATAGTTCCTTTCTGAAAAAGCCATGTCTCTGCTGGCATTCCATCCTCATTGCCAAAACTGTCAGACTGTAGTGTCTGGGATTTTACTCTACTTACAAGGTAACAAGTTAGCCTGCCACAGTTTTATTGATGCAGACAAAAAGGACTTTATGACTCACAGCTATAGCAGTAGCCAGAGTGTCAGCACTCACACGTTTTCCCTGAGTGCCACTTCTACAGCGCTACACAAAGTGGGCCAGGTGACTCCTGCACAGTCAGTGGGTTGCATTATAAGAGAGGAACTCTGAGACTAGGAAACCTGAATCTTTTATAACGGATGATGTGCCGCCCCTTTGCTCGAGAGGTAGGCACTGGCTTCTAAAGCTCTTTGCTCTACAAATATCCACTAAAAGACAGCCTGGAACAAAGGCAGTCAGAGGCTTGCTCACAAGATAACATGAGAGACTCACGGGAAAATATCTTCCAACAGAACCAACAGAACTTGCTGCTGGACTGGATGTGTGGTGTGAGGGCAACAGCAAAATCAAGGACGACTCCCACGTTTTTGTTTTGCACAACTGGGTGGCATTCGGTGTCACTCAAATGGGGACACTTGGGGAAAACCACCAACTTTAGCTTACATATTAACTATGATATGCCTATTTTATTTTATTATTTTTTTATTTCAGCATATTATAGGGGTACAAATGTTAAGGTTAGGCATATTGCCCGTGCCCCCCGTCCCCCCTTGAGTCAGAGCTTCAAGCGTGACCATCCTCCAAACGTTGCACATCTCACTCATTATGTTTGTATATACCCATCCCCTCCTCGCCCCCCACCTGCCCAACACCGTATAAATGTTGATCCGTTAATACCAATTTGCTGGTGAGTACATGTGGTGCTGGTTTTTCCATTCTTGAGATACTTCACTTAGTAGAATGGGTTCCAGCTCTATCCAGGAAAATACAAGAGGTGCCAAATCATCATTGTTTATTAAAGCTGAATAGTACTCCCTGGTATACATATGCCAGATTTTATTAATCCACTCATGTATTGATGGGCACCTGGGTTGTTTCCACAACTTTGCAATTGTGAACTGTGTTGCTATAAACATTCAAGTGCAGGTGTTCCTGTTGTAGAGTGTCATTTTATCTTTTGGGTAGATGCCCAGTAGTGGAGTTGCTGGGTCAAATGGTATATCTACTTGTATCACTTTAAGATATCTCCATATTGCTTTCCACAGAGGCTGAACCAGTTTGTAGTCCCACCAGCAGTGTACGAGTGTTCCTATCTCTCCGCATCCACACCAACATTTATTGCTTGGGGACTTTTGATAAAGGCCATTCTTACTGGAGATAAGTAATATCTCATTGCAGTTTTGATCTGCATTTCCCTGATGATTAGAGATGTTGAGCATTTTTTCATATCCTTGTTGCCCATTATTCTGTCTTCTTTTGAAAAATTTCTGTTCATGTCCTTTGCCCACTTTTTGACAGGGTTGTTTGATTTTTCCTTGCTGATTTTCCTGAGTTCTAAATAGATTCTAGTTATCAGCCCTTTATCGGATGTGTAGCTTGCGAAAATTTTCTCCCATTCTGTGGGTTGTCTTTTGTTCTCTTGACAGTTTCTTTGGCTGTGCAGAAGCTTTTTAATTTGATAAGGTCCCATTTATTTGTTTTTGTTGCTGCTGTGATTGTCTTTGCAGTCTTTTTCATAAACTCTTTGCCTAGCCCAATATCTATAAGAGTATTTCCAATGTTTTCCTCTAGAATTCCAAAAGAATATGTCATGGTGGCAGTTGAACTTTTAGTCTCAAAGCACACAGGGTAGGTCAGAACTAGCAATAAATATTTGAATATCATCAAATATAGGAGGTATTTAAGACATGGAATTCAATGAGATGATGAAGAGAAGAGAGTCCAAAACAGAGATCTGGGGTACTCTAGCACTTAAAGTTCAGGTAGAAGAGATAACTAAGACAAGGAACTACCACTGAGGGAAGGAAGCCAAAACGAAGGAAGTGACTGACTGTGTCAAATGTTGCTGGAAGTTTGAGGCAGATGAAAACAGAGCAGCATGGACTGGTAGTATACAAAGAGTCAGAAGACAGAATTATAGATACTCCTCTAACAGTGTGACTTACTGAAGGAACTGGACAACCAAAACTATGAGGCTGATACTTGGGCTTTGTAACAAAGAAAAAAGTTAAAATGTTTCAAATTTATGACATGTATATTGAATAAATATGGTACACAAACTATCATAAAAATGCAGCTTTACTTCTGCCTCCCATTATCCCCAAGCTGAAGAGCACTGGAGTGGTTAAAGGAGACAAGAACTTTAAAATGGTGAGGATGGATTATGCTTTCAGCACTTACAGTAAATCAAGGTCTAAAGAATTAACGCCACAAGCGTAGCCTGAATTTTTTTTTAATCAAATACAAAATGAAGCTCTCTAAAGTTGTATGGCTTTTCCAGTTAATTTATTCAGTCTTCAGCTTTCCTTGATTAGAAAGCAAGGTCAGAGACTTTATAGAAATGTTTTATAGGCACCTAAAGTCATTCAGGGCATTAGAAATCATGCTGTTTTGTAATAGCATTTGCCTGGAGAGGAAGGGGAAAAAAATCTAAAGTTCTTATATTCCAAGGAGCCTCTGTGTATCTATAGTAAATGTCCACAAAACTGATAGAAGAAATAAATAATTTTCATTTTTCAGTACTGAAAGCAATAAAACATGTAGAGTGTAATTTGGAATCTTCCAGAAAATGTATGGAAACTGAAGCCAGGACAAATGATGAGATCAGAGAAGATAGAGAATGAGGGTGAGAGAATGAGGAGATACAATAAACCCTAGTTCTGAGGTAATTTTCAGGGGACACAGCGGGAGAAAGTGAAAGTTCTCTGTCAAGGATGAGTGTATATAAGCCTAGAGAACACAGAGATTGAACAGTGAATACCTAATGTATCAAAATTTCAGAGAGATGCCAACAAAATAAGCAAAAGAAAAGGTAGCACAGAAGGAAGTTGGTAGTGTCCCCCAAGACCAAGTGGGGACACTAATAGCTTATATGCAGAGCTTCCAGCAAGAAAGGGAGATGGAAAAAGTCCAAATTTGTTCATTCTATAGTGAACCTCAAATACGCCAAGTTCACTCACTGAAAACCATCAGCAATCTGGCCACTTCATCAGTCAGTATTTATGTTTTACTAATTAAGATTCCAACTTTAGTGGTTCTGCAGAAATATCTTTATGAAAATATAAAGCAAACAAAACAAAAAAATCCCTGTGAAGTCTTGGCAAGCATTCAGGAGAACCCCACACAAATGGTGTTTGCTTACAAATCCTAAGCGATGTTTCCAAGAATATCCCAAACACAGAAGATCCAATGTAATTACTATATTGATTTGGCTGTAATAAGAACAACCAATATGGCTGATTCTGGGTTTCTCGTTTTGGTCTTGTTTTAGTGTTGTCTTTAGTAGGCCATCTGATTGAATTTGTAGCCACAGACTTACTAGAAAACCTTCTCTCGTAGGTACAGACCACCACCATGTGCATCTCTGTCAGCCTGAGCGGCTTCGTGGTCTTGGGCTGTTTGTTTGCACCCAAGGTGCACATCGTCCTGTTCCAACCCCAGAAGAATGTGGTCACACACAGGCTGCATCTCAACAGGTTCAGTGTCAGCGGAACTGGGACCACGTATTCTCAGTGTAAGTATGGAACTCAATGCTGACTCCTCCATACATACAGCGCTGTGGTAGGGGCCAGGCTGGCAGAAGCAGGCAACACATGGCTGTCCCTATGAACAATCTCAGTTCAAGTTTAACAAGCACTGATTTAACTGCTGTGTCAGGTACTGAGCATATAGTGAGGAGCAAAAGGGTTTTTGAGCATGTTGTGGAGTTTGATTACCTTGCCTCTAGTCCTGTTCTGCAGACAGTTTAGTAGGTAACTTTGAACAAGTCGCTTTATTGCTCCCTGCCTCGGTTTATCATTGGACTACAGGATTGGACTAGATTAGTATTTTATAAAGTATATTCTATGTCACGCAGATGCTGAAGGTGATTTATGAAAAATTAAAAAGGGGAAGATAATCAAATAAGATGAAAAAAATGCTTCATCCTTAATGCCCCCTTGGAAATTTAAAGCACTTCCTTTGACGTGAGCATGTTATAGGTTCTGAGAATCTCTACAGCAATGGAACTTGTGTAACTTCATTATTCACAGAGTTTCTTAAAAGTATTTGACCACAGTAAAATCAACTAATATCCTGTGGAACACATTGTGGAAAACGCTGGAATAGATCGTCCTCATACTTCAATGACACAATGTTTTTTCAGCTGAGAACAGCTGAGAAGGCAGTGTGAGCTGAAGCATACCAGGACAGCTCCCCAGTTCAAAACTCTCTCTCTTGCTGGCCTACAAATGTCCGAAGCATTATCCTTAGCGAATCATTGGTTTAATTCTTTAGAGTTCTCTAAAGCACAAATGTACCTGAAAGGGACAACCTTTTAAGCCATTTTCAGCTCATTTGTGGTGCAGAGCAGGAAACATTCACTGATGCAAGGATGAGGGAGAAGAAGGGGACTGGAGGCAGGGGGTGGGGGGGAGCACGGGAAGTGACAGAGACAAATGACTACTTCACCATTTCGCCTCGAGTAGGTTAGGAAGGATACTTCAAAATAGCTCAGCATCACAGGGTGAGCAATCGCATTTGTGCCCTAATTTCTCCAGCAAAGTACGGAATTTAACAGGGCAGCCCTTCCCCCCGCAAACAGAGGGAAGACTGACAGGCTGAGAGCACGTGTTCAGGGATATGTGGTCTAATGCTGTCTACACCGCTCCTCAGTGGATTGTGAGCTGCTGGTGGGGACGTTACTGTCTCTCAGCTGAATTCCCAGGTATCACAGAGGTTGAGTCCAGGGCATGATAAAACCTATGAAATAGTTTTCCTTGGATCTTGGAGAAACATGTTTATTTCTCAAGCAAACAGCAGCCCACCGGTATTAATAATAGCTAGCTAGTCCAGACAAGAACAAACTGACAATAACTAATAAAAACAACAATAATAACAGCTAACAAAAACTATCATTTATTGAGTGTTTTCTGTGTGCTGGGTATTGTGCTAAATACTTTATACGTGTGTGTGCACGTGTGTGCACTATATTTTATTTAGTGTTCATGACTCTTTAAGGTAAAGAAACCCACCCAGGCTCACATATTTTGAAAGTGGCAGACCCAAAATTTACAATCTGTTTCTCTGACTTCGAAGCTAATGTACCTAACCACTGTATCATGCTACCTCTCCCAGAAAGCAAGCTGGGAAAGTTCTTATGCTAAGTACCTGGTAGGCTTTACAGGGAGAACAAAGGGAAGGTTACCTAGTCTGTGCAGTAAGTTACCTCTGAGCAAAAAATTGTCCTGTTGATAACACACAGCTCTTTGTTATTGGAACAATTTAGCAAAGTCTCTAAGTCTTCCACAGACATTGTTCAAAATCTCATATATCTAGACCTCTCAATAATTTAAAAATGGCAGCATTTTCTAATATATATACTGGGAATTAATAAATTCCTGAAGGAATAATGAGGGCACTTTCTCCAATCAAGTCTCTTGTCAAATTCAGAAATATCTATTTCTGAAAAACAAGGTATTCTGACTACAATGGACCTGCTTAAGTGGTGCTAAGCATCTAATCTGTTTGTGACCCAACCAGTACTTTAAGGATAGGTATCTACCCAACCCAATATTTTTGGACTTTTTTGTTACTCAATAAATTTTAAATAAATTTTATTTTTTTAAAAAGGTCCAAATTTGGACTTTATTGTTTTAACAAAATTAAGGTAATTTTGTTACCTTATGTGGTGGTGTTATGTAATGAAGTGAAGAATTTATATAATGTCTCCAGACATTTTAAAGTACATAAGCAACAAATACATTCACCTGTTATTTATAATTCCATATCTTTTATTCAAAGTAGTTTTATATTTATGAACTCATTTTACTATCATGAGCACCAGATATCACAAGTTCTATTTTGTAGGTCAGTAAATTGAGAATTGAAGTTACTTCTCAAGGATATACAATGATTCAAGAATGAAAAGTTGACCCTGGATTTATGATTTACAATTAAAACTCTTCCCATTTTAGTAAATTGGAACTATTATTATGAAATCCATTCATTCATTAAATTCTTGAGCACCTACTATTAATATATACCAGAAATTTCTAAGAGCTATATACACAGTAATGGATAGAACAGAGTTCCTGACCTGATGAACCTTAGTATCTAGGATGGTGTTTTTCATACTGTAGTGTAACCCATTAATAGGTCATGAAGCTTATTTAGTATGTTTGACCAGTGTTTTTAAAAAGAAAAAAATAGAAAAATCTTAGAGTTCATTACATATAATAAAGCTAAAATATGAAGAGTAAGTTATGAAGATATATGTGCACCAGGTCCAGATAAAATATATTTATTACTATGAATCACAATCAAAGAAGTTAAAAGGCCACTGCTCTATGGTATTTAGTTCTATGCATGAACATGTCACTGACCCACTGTGGTAAGAGTTTAAGCAACTCGTTTAATATTTCAGTGCCTGTTTCCTTTATTATATATTCAGTTCAGTTTATATCCATTTCCCTCCTAAATACAAGGAAGTATTATAAATCAAGAAAAACCCTTAAACTGCTTTGAGTTTACAAGGAAGTATTTTTTTTTTTTTATAAATCAAGAAAAACCCTTAAACTGCTTTGAGTTCATTAGATAAAGCATATGTTTTACTTAGGTTGTACATAATCATAATTTATGTACTTCTTGGTAAATATTATGCCAGCACTTTATTCCACTGGGTGTTTGTTACCAATATCGCTGTTGGTTTTCTGACTTATTCTCTCCAGAGGTAAAAACAAACCCCACGTACAGATGAGAGTAAGCTAATATAGCAACAGGGTTATCTCATCCCTCCATCTAACAAACTTCCACATAACTTAGAGTCAGGCATCCTCAAACTACGGCCCGGGGGGACACATGCGGGCTGCCTAGCACATTTATCCAGCCCTCCAGGTGTTTTTGCCAATGCTGCCTGTCAGGCTTAGCAGCCGACTCATCCCAGGCCCACAGTGCACTCTCCAATGGTCTGGGGACAGTGAACTGGCCCCCTGTTTAAAAAGTTTGAGGACCTCTGTCTTAGAGGCTTAAAACAACAACCCTTTTATTATCTCTCATGATTTTATGGGTCAGATAATCAGTGAGGACTTGGCTGGGCAGTTCAATTGCTCCATGAGGCCTTTATTTATTTTATTTATTTTTTTATTTTATTTTTTTTTAGAGACAGGGTCTCACTATGTTGCCCAGGCTGGTCTAGAACTCCTGGCCTCAAGTGAACCTCCTGCCTCAACCTCCCAAAGTGCTAGGATTACAGGCATGAGCCACCATGCGAGCATGCTCCATGAGGCTTTGACTAGAGTTCTTCTTTGGTTTTTAGCAGAGACTGAGATGATCTGTAGGATCCATGATGGTTTCACTTTTATTCTTGGCACCTTGGGAGGAAGCCTCTCCACACTGGCTCCCACAGAGCATGTTCCATAAAAAAGGAAGTAGAAACTGGCTTGGCCAGGAAACTGATACAGCATGACTGGTACCATATGTATTTATCAAAGCTGTGACAGAGCCTGCCCAGATTCAAGGGCAGGGCACAGACCCCACCTCTCAAAGAATCTGGTGCCTTTGTTTTTATGTCGCACTCTCCAAATCCAGTCCTGCACTCTTATCAAGGATTACAGTGACTTGACATACTTAATCCCATGCAATACCAAGAAGTCACCCAGACTGGCAAGTGCAGCCATATCAATTTCCAGTTTATTCTCTGGCAAGAGAGTAGCAGAAGCACCACATTGGTCTGGAGCACACGGAAGCCTCCTGAGGGCGCCTGAAGTGGTTGATGGTAGAAAGTATTGGCATTGAATTTTTAAAGCTGAGAAATTGCTCTAAAAGGACAGAAAAGCATGACCAAACTCAGAAGCAGCCCTGAAAGGAAGAACATGGTTAAGGACACCTTGGAAAACTCACTGTTTGAGAAATGTTTTACATATTGCTATGGGTAAAAGATGTGTCTAATTAATTAGTTACAGTGGAAGTCAGAATTATAAAAATAAATGAAACCTTAACTCTTCTCTATTAAGAGTACCCATGGGTCAGTGGTTTCCAAATATTTGTGTACAAAAAATAACCTCTTTGAAATGGGGATGTCCTGGCCCCACCCGTAGATAATCTGATTCATGTGGTCTGGGGCAAAGGCCAGAAATCTGGCTTGTAACAGATACCCCAGCTGGTTCAATGGAAGTGGTCCAAAGGAAATATTTTGAGAACCTCTGCCCAAACCATTCTTGTCTACTTCATCCACTGATATCAGTGCAATGCAGGAAGGTCTTTTTAGGCCTTCAAGGAGGAAGCAGGGTTTCAGAGAGGGAGTGGCATTCTGAATTCCAGTCCTTTGCCGTGTGATGCCAGTAGCCACATCCTCATGCAGTTATTTCTCAAGCTGCCTCTGCAACCTCCAGGGAAGGCATTTCCAGCATAGAAGCCCCTGGCCACTCAGAAAACATTTACTAAAAGTGGGCATGCTCCTTCTAATGGCAGTATAACTCAGAGACCCTGAAATTCCAAACTCATACTTGTACTGCTGCTCCCACACCCACACACATA